TGAAGAGATAAAGAACAAGAGGACAGATAAAAATAGGGAAAGAGAGAGAGAGAGAGAGAAAACAGTCGCGAATTAAAATCGTGCAATTTCCTTTCAGGAAATATATCCAGTCATCCTTCTTTTATCAAAACCACGATTGGAAAAGCTAAACTACCTTGATATAAAGTAAACGTTTCTTTTTTTTCTTTTTCTAATTAAAGAAAAAAAAAACTTCCCAGAAATCCTCCTAATATAAAATATATAAATAAAATGACTTAGAAAAATTGTTCAAATAAATTTGAAAAGACATCGATGATTTAGAATTTCATTCGATACAAATATTCAATTTCAGTGTATTATACTAAACGTTACGTTATACTAAAATATTATATATAAAATCCTTTATACCTACACAAATACGCAACGCAGATGGGATATACGCAGGTGTATGTATGTATATATATATGCAAATATAAATATATATATGATGATGATAAGTTTATATATTGCACATGTATATATTGGTAATGTTGTTGGAGGATATTAATTTCTGTATTTCCTCTTCTATTCTCCTATTCTACATTACTAGATTGTAATTAAATTGTGGCCGCTTATGGTTGCATAATTAAATGGACGTTCGGCTTGTGACCAATTAGAAACTCGGTTATAATAATTATTCCAAATCGAAACATAATCACAGATTACCTGCTTACCAAATAGACTTTTATCCGATCGTGGAAACATCGACTCTATCAAACATAATCGATTTTAACTATCGTCAAACATACGCAGATAAGAAGACAATTAATTTTTTTCAGTGGTCAATACTTTTATCTAAAATATTTTCTAGAAACATAATTGAAATTTTTCTTTCTCAATATAATTTCATTGATTAATATAAATATTCAATTATTTTATATATACATTAATATTAACAAACACATAGGTATGCGTCGATAGACCATTTTGATCATTTTGACCAAACGCATATATGTGTCCATAGTAATCAAAGGGTTAATTTAACAGTTAGAAGATCAATTAATCATTTTTAATATTTACAAATTTTACGATTATTATTTATTATGAAAAATCATTGAGAATTTTCTTCTAAAACACGAAACGTTCAATTTTCAAAGCAGAAGAAGAAGAAGAAGAAGAAGAAGAAGAAGAAGAAGAAGAAGAACTATTCGAGCATGGAAGGAAGTGAACCGATCTGAGGAAGAGAAAGAGAGAGAGAAAAAGAGAGGAAGAAAAGAGGATGAGAATAATTCTGGTGAACGCCCTCACTGCCTTGACCTCTATGACCTCTGCTTTGCGCTCGACAAACCCGGGACCAGATTCCTTCGTGACTGCAAAGCATCCCGAGTAAAATGTTCAAACGTAACGCAATTCTTATATATGTATATATACAGAGTGGGCCATAACTTACTAACCAATAAAATAATTATTATTGTCTTTTAAACTTGTGTGTTAATCTTACATTATGAAAAAACTTAATCTCGTAGATTTACAATGTGCATCCAAAACTAGCCTAAAATATTGGGTTGGCAAGAAAGTCATTTCAGCTTGCACCAATAAATAAAATGATGTTTGTTTCAGTATTCTTTTGTTAATGTTAAAATTTTGTTCTTTTGAGGTTTGGTAGTTGACACTTTTTAAGTAGCTATAGAAACAAGTTCTAATTAATTTTGTTTGCAACTGTTAGTTTAGAAACAATAGAGTTTTATTTAACATTAGAAAACCGAGATTTACTTTCTTGCCAATCCAATATTTAAGAAAGGAGTAGATTTTGTGAGTCCATTATAATTGAAAATAATATGAATGAAAAAAGCAGAAAGGTTGGTTGGTTTGAAAATTTGTGATATATATATATATATGAAGATGCACTTTTAGTCTGACTATGATACCTATACGTAGTTTATATACACAGGGAGAGAGATCTAATTGCATTATCCGAGGATGCATGATGCAAAGCCAACGATTGGGTCACATCCCACGAGAGATCTTCTAATCCTAGGAAACGAGCCGTCGTCCTTCCATATCTGACGTTATCCTATATTACAAACGGAACGTGTGTTATCGCTTTACTTATCTCACATTTATCTAACCTTTTTTTTTTTTACTTTTATTTATTAACAATTTCAAAGTATTTTTTATTGTATCATTATACTTTCAAATGATTATTTTATTTTATTTTATTTTTTTTTTATATATCACGAAGAAGACGAGGAGGATAAAAAATCGCGTCGCGGAAGAGACGCGTCATTTTGAAATTATGATCCTGGTGTGACTCCCTTGTGGCAAAGAAAAAAAAAAGAAAAAAAAAGGAGGGAAGAGTAGAAGGAGGTACGTGCAAGGGGGTCGACCTGATTTTCACTCTCTTTTTATTCTTAGAGTTGGAATTTAAATAAAAAGAAAGAAAAAGAAAAAGATAATTAAGGGAGAGAGAGAGGGTAGACTAACGAAAGTGACAGGGGGCCGAAAATCGGACATCTGTCGCTCTCACACGACATGCAAATTATTATCAGTCGATTTTAAGGGACTCGTTTTATAAAATAAATGCATCACCAAACTCTCCCCCATTGATCTCATTTCATCTTCCCTCCTACTCTCCCTCATAAATTTTTTGCAAATTATTCTACCACATTTTTTCGATCTCTCTCTCTCTCTTTCTTTCTCTTTCTCTTTCTCTTTTCATTAATACAATTTTATATTTCATTATTATTACTTCCATTCATTAATTTTATCAATAATATTCCCAATCTGTTGAAACAAAGTATATCTACCAAAGCTCATTAAATTTATCTCCTTTCCTCTTTTATTTATTAATTTTAATTAACTCTTATAAAAATTATTATACGAGGTGTTTTTTTATTATTATTATTATTATTTCATTAATAAATAATAATCATATTTTTTTTCATTTAATTGAGCTTATAATTTCGATAAATTAAAATAAATTATCGTTTATCTCGAATGAGATATTACAAAAGATAAAGATTCAACGTAAAACGATAATTGTGTCTTGACTATAAAAAAAAAAAAAAAAAAGAAAAAGAAAGAGAAAGAAAAAATAAGAGCATTGACCCATAAAATTTCTTAACGTAGTCGTCATTCCACTTTTATGGTGGCCCGTAACATAAGAAAATGTTGCTTTGGTGCCAGCTTCCTAGCTACCTGCTGGCTTTTACTATCCAACATCCCTCTCTCCTTCTCACTCTCTCTTATTTTGCCCTTCTTTTGACTCTTCCGCATATGCTTGTCCTTTTTCCTCCCTCTTGTCTCACCCCTCTAACACACAGACCTCTATCTTTTCCAGTCCTCTTAACACACGTCTTTTAGTGCTCCATTATTATTTTCTCTCTTTTCCTTTTTTTATTATTCTCTATTTTTTTTATTTTTTGCCTTTTACAACTTTACTAGGCACTTCAATTTATGGTATTTATTAATTTTTCTTTTCCTTTATATAATAATTTATAATTTTAACATAAACAAAATCAAATAAACTATAGTGTATGTGTGTAGGTACGCTTGAAAAAACGTTGGTGTTGTTTGTATGAACGACACATGAAAGAAAACAAATTGATATTAAGGACAACACACAAAAGAATATTTTAAAAACGATACAGGATCCATGACCGTATGCATTTTACAAAGAATTCGGGTAGGTTACATCAAACTGATGAAAAGTGAAAGTCGTATTCGAACCGGTTGAAACGCCTCATTCTTGTTTCGGTTATGTCGATAAATCACAAACGGTGATGGGAATTTAATTTTTATTTCGTAATAAGTAATCGTTAACGTTTGTTTCGTTGATATATTCAAATTAATATTTGTCATAAAGTTACATTTTTATGAGAGTAAAATAAATAATCGATTGGAAATAATTCAAGAGAGAGAGAGAGAGAGAGTAGGGGTTCGAATTTGTGGTTGCAATTTGCAATGGCAAAACTTAAATCGTTATTCTCAAACGTCGTATATACTCGTGCATGTTGTAAATCGTGTTAAACATGCATACATAGCATGCATTTCGAAAGACAAATCTCTTTTGAAAAGTAAAGAACGTTAAAGAAAGTTCGTAGAACACGCTTTTGAGACACGCACACGCGTGCCAAACGAAGTAGAAACGTAGACTTTGATCGGTCGTACAAGTAGTTAGCGACAAATGATTTAACTTCACCCTTTTAAAAGGCTTAGGTCTTCTTTCTTGTAAAGTTTAATAATGCGTGACGTAGCCTACATAAATCTATGATGGTGGTAGTTATGTAAGTATACACCCTACGTATAAGCATCCAAGTAAATAACTTTAAAATTAAAGGGACAGCGACATGAAACTGGGTCTCCAGGGTGCTTGTGTTCCATGTATTTAGTCGATACTGACGAATAAGAAGAATCGTTGGATAGGAAAAATCCTATGAAGAATTTTTCAAGAAAGTAAACAGACATAATAGTTCGGTGCAATCATGAAAATTTTATCAACGAACACTCAACAGATAGACAGGAAGAGAAGAAGTCACGCGAGAAAATTCCGATTGACGATGACATAATTATGTAGCATAAAGTGACTCAAATGCAACCTTATAAATAGTTTGTTACATGGGAAAGAAGTATTGAATTATGTGTTCAGAGGATTGATATAAATACAAGTACCTACTAGGAACGAAGTAGAGAAGAATAAGTAAGAGAGTATATAAGCAACAATAATAAAAAGAAATAGTAATAGCAACGATAGAATCCTTAGGTAGGCCTAGAGACTTTAATCGTTTGTAGAAGCAGTCAGCAACAAGTGGTCTAGCTCGACTCTAGTCGAGAGTTTTACTACCACTACTACTACTACTATTGCTTTCTAGTGTAACTAACGTAGGTTGTAAGCTATGAATGCTTACTTCGAAGGTACTTTTAGCAAAATCGTGCAGAGTCGTAACAGACCGGTTGGAATAGTATGGGGGGAAAAGGAAGAGGAAAAGGTAGCCCACTATCGATGCACCCACGGTCAACTAACAATAAGAAGAAAAGGGTGAACTCACTGGTGGTTACGTTTTACCTCTACATACATACATACATATATATGTATGTATACTACTCGACTAGTCCAAGTATTTTTCTCTACCTAGTCCAATGTTGTTCCTATTCGAAGCTTACCACACAATGCAACACCGTTTGTTGGTATATCGAACAATAATAAGTGCCTATCGTTTATCTTATAGTCTATTTCATATGTGTATTCATTTATGCGTGGTATACAGTATACGCTACTATGCATATATGCACTTTTATTAGATTTTTTTTTGGTTAAATAAAATGACTACTTTTTAATTGACCTTAAATTTTACTGACAATAAAGTACAATCTATCGATTATCTTATAGTCAATTTTATGAACATCGGATTATTATATTTGTTTTATTACGTGAATACGTATATATATACTCGAAACACATATAAACTCACAATCAGTTACGCGTTTAATACGTTCGATCGATAAAAATAAGGTTGAGAACATTACGTGCGTTAAACTTGCGTCATAGCTTACCTCTTTTCGTCGGCAACATCTGTTCTCAGCTATGTAAGGGCTCATTAAAAATATCTAACTTTAACTACTTCATTTGTTTTTATTATTGTTAAGAGGGATTGACCATATTTATTCTTCTTTTTAAAACTTTAACAGTGTCCACCCCTATTTTTCTATTTATTTTTAATTTTTATTCGAATTATGTAATTTGTCAATGGTACTAATAAATAAATCAAATAAAATATACTATATAAAAACGAGAAGAGAGAGAGAGAAAAATAGAGTTAATTTACGATAGTGACAAAAGTTAATAGCAATTTGTCATTTGGTCGACAAAAATTTTCCATTACCGTTTCTTTGTTACCAAAAGGATTGTATTACTTTGTTAGGATAATGGCAAACCATTCTCGTTTTTTTATTCCTTTTCTTTTTTTTTTCATTTGTACCAACGATGCGACGCGACGAAAGGAAATGCACAAAAAGTTTAAAGAAAAGATATGGTCTGTATATGATAATGCAATTAAATGACACGCTTATGCATTTCCTCTCTTTTTCCCCATTTCAAAGGTTTACCGAGTATTTCAATTATTTTCAACATTCAATGTCAATACCTTTTTATAATATAGAATAATTGCAACAAAATTGCATTATACTTTGATTGAATCACACGTATATCAACTGTACAAAATCCAATTTTTTTTTTGTTATTTTAAAAAAGAAAGAAAAAATAAAACAAAAACACCGTTGTAATAATTAATTATGATAGAACAAGAAAGAAAAGAAAAAGTATAGTATAATCAAAATCCATCAATTAGAAGAGAGAAAAAACCATCCATCTCGGATAAAATAAAAAAAGAAAAAAAAACAAAAAATAAAAAAAAAAATAAATAAAAGAAACCACAAAATTGTTACTATCTAATACATACGCATATATACATATATATATATATATTATCTGATAAATAATGTATGAGAACTAAGTTAATAAAAAAATGATTTTGATCTATAGCACCTTCAACCAAGAGAGAACAAAAAAAAAGAAAAAGAAAAAGAAAGAAAGAAGAACGGACGCTTAAAGTTGGACGATAAATTGATGTCATTTGAGAGAAATGGCGGCAGCTGGCGAGCAACATTCATCCGGCCTTCATGACACATCGGTGCCACTTTGTGAGAGCACCTGTACGCTTTTCCTTGATTCCTGGTTTATTCGCTATCCCTTTCTCTTAAACGTAATACGCGTGCGCAAGAAACCCTGTGCACTTCAATTTCTCTCTCTCTCTCTCTCTCTCTCTCTCTCTCCCTACATAGGCCGCCAACTACATCGATATGGCTCTAAGGTCGGCCATGCTAACAAGCCCCGAGTGTTTCTCTTTGATGTCTCAGCCCGGATATACTACGCCAATATTCGACAAAATCAAAGAGAGAGAGAGAGAGAGAGAGAGAGAGAGAACATGTTCGAGTACAAATGAACGTGTCGTTAGTACGACAACGAATCACCTGGCCCAATAATCAAAAAATGATCAAGTTATGTCAAAATAAGGGACGGTTTAATACGTTCCATGCCACGTGTACCATCGGTGGGTACACTTACCATTAAACATATTTATTTAATGTGAAGTAAATATATGTATATATAACAAATTGAATTCTGTAGAAAAATATTCCTATTAAAATATTGATGTATTATACACAATGCAGTATAGAACAAAGCACACAAGTTTGTTTAATTGTTATATTTACAATAATTAATAATAACATGTAATGGTTGATTTTATTCAAGCAAAATGAAATGGCCTGAATGGCA